ATCAAACCTGGAAATAAATACCAGACTATAAACTGCAGGCGATGGAATGTGAGGACATTTCAGCTCCAGCAGAGATTTCTACTCTGGTGACTGCCTTCGAGGTCCTGTATAAATCATTACCACTGCTCTGGCTGTGTATAAATTCCACAATGCACAAATGTCTCATGTTCATATCACAGCTATGATTTATTTTGCATTTTCTGTTCTAAGGCTGTGTAAATGTTATTTCAGTGGCTGTTCCACACTGGCAAAATTAAGTTTTTAGAGAAAGCAGCACTTCTCTGATGTATAAATGATTGGAGATTGTGAGAACAGCAGTGTCAACTCCCAAATCACTGCTATCTGCTTGTGAAAATTGAATATTTTGATTCAAAGTCTTTCTGGATAGACTGTAGTACTGCTGCTATAAACTGCATGTAACTAACACATAGGGCCTAACAACTCGTAAAGTGAGCAATCATGACAACACAGTCTGAAAGGCAATTAAAAAACATCACCATTAAGGGAAAAAAATAACTGAAAAGTTTAGAAGGAGGGTGACGCATCATTAGAGTCACGAAAAGCAATAATATGTCAAAAAGAAGTGAAAATAGATACATTTCAAAACCATGTTTTTCGAACTTAAAGATAATTTGAGTTTCTAGTTTGAAAATATCACGGTTCGCTGCAGGCACTCATAAAATAATTGCTTTACATTCACTCTGCTTTGGTGTTTCCAACATTGCATTGTTTCCATTACAGCTGTTAGAGAAACAATGCATTCTCATACTCAGGGAACCACTAGGTAACTCTTATGATGCTAGTGTTGGAGAGATACGCACGAGGTATTCTTTGGGTTGTGCCTTGATACATTGTGCACTATGCATCAGATAGCCAGACCATCAATCGAAGACGAAAATGATGTTTCCTAATGGGTCCTTCATGGCCGTCCATATGTGACGAGCTGGTGCTCAGACTCATGTCACTATAAACTGTGTCACAGCAGTGGCTATGACAAAATGCCATCACTGTAATGGCTTGTGAATGAGAAGGAAAAATGGTGGCTCACCAGCATCACTGCTTGTATACAAGGAAGTCACTAGAAAGTCTTCATTTAACATGGTGGTTATTTAAATATGGGAATCCATCAAACTGCGATATAAGGAATTCTACTACCAACACAGCTCTGATGTGGCAATGAAAAAGAGAAAGTCAGGAGTTAATGGAAATAGATGAGCAGGGTGTGAAATGTAACAGCAAACCTGACGACATTCAAATAATTAAGACCAACACAGACAGATACTTTTTGCTAATCACACTAAGAAATGCTGCGAATTGCCTGAGCAAGCTTTTGGACAGTAGCATTTGTAAAATCATGCAAATGAACACACAA